TCAGGGGCAATAGATGGCAGCACCCTTTCGTCGTAATCTTGACCAAGAATCGTGTAAATTTTAGGCAATTGGTCGGGAATTGGACGGTAGAGGATACGTAATGTAATGTTTACATTTTGTAAATCCTTACTGCCCGTGATGACGGGTACATTTCTTGGCTGTGAGCGAATGTCATATATGATGGGTCTTTGTACCCATGGAATGAAGAAATGTGTGCCTTCACCTACAACATCTTGTTGCACGCCGGTAAAACGATCAAATATGACAGCACGGTGTCCACCATCAACATTATATAACGCTGAATTCACAACTCCGCCTAGGACAGCAACACCAAGGCCTAATTGACCAATACGATTGAAAAATTGCGCAGCCATTATTTTCAGACTTATTTAACCTGTGGAAAATTCAACACTTCAAAAATTTTAGTGCAAAGGAATATTGTGTATATTTCACAACTTTTTAGGTTAGAAAATAATGTTTGCTTGAAAACACTGCTATATATATAAAATTTCATGTAAATATAATCATAAACGGAGAACTACTTGTATTGCCAGTTATTTTCGATGAAAACAACGTATTTAATTACCTATTATCAATATTATTATAAAATCAAAACGGTCTTTGTACGAAAATATTCACATGCGATTGATGAAGATGGTCTAACTGAATAGTTTTCCCATTACAAAATCGATTTATTAATCGAACTGATGGGTAATGGGCAGCACTTGTAGTTGTTTGACAACAATTTGTCAATTGTAACAGCTTAAAATATAATTAAAAAGATATAATACAAAATGTTTACAGTTAAATCTTGAAGGATAAACGGTAAATCCTATAACAATAATAGCGGAGTAAACAAATTAAGATATAAATAGATACTATTTGTATTGATGATGACCCCAAAAAAACACGATAAACCACAAAAAATATTGTTAATTAAATTGTCACCTGATAGACTAAATTAGAATTGAATTAAAAATAATAAAATGTTTCAAAATAACATACATAAGTCTAATAGGCCTTTTTCGTGACTCAATCAAATAAAAAATAATAATGGAGACTTCCCTAATTCTATCGTTCTTGCTTCTAATTATCCATGGATAACAAAACTCTCAGTCCGAATTGATTGGACAATTTAAAATATTATATTAATGCATTAGATACATATAGAAAACATTTTTTTATTTATATACATATATATAGGGATTTTTGAGAATATCATCATATATATAAATCTACTTCGATGGATCGCGTATAACATGATCGCCAAAGCTTTTAAATATATTAAATTCTAAGCTGCAAGGCGTTGCAAGCGAGGGGGTTCATTCTTTTATAACCACATTTCAGTAGCTAAAGCTACATTGACACGCACGGATTCACGTCATGACAGCACGTCCGGTGACTTTGGGCATCTTTTTATTGGTCGAATCTTCAAGTTCCTTAGCTTTGTAGTAATGTGGTGCCACTTCTAACAACCACTTGCTGTCAATTTCGATCACTTGCCGCATGTACTCCTTTGTGGTAAATACGAGTTCATGGTAAAGTACCCATCTGGGCAGTTCTTCAAAAAGCGAAGAATTCGGATGGATCAATACCGTTTGATTGTGTTTAATAGTCTTATAATTACCACTTTTTGATAATTTCGCAACATGATAAAAATATCCAGCTGTGACGGCTTTCCTTACATTTACCGTCTCAGGCATGCATGAGACCATATCAATTTCTACACGCTGCATTAAACCCACGAGTTGCTCACGTACGTCACGTGCTCTTTTCATAGATCTATACTGTATAAAGTTCTCGTAACACCACTGTGTGCTATAATCCGTATCAACCCACTGATTGTAAACCTGCAACAAACTCAAATGATCACCATGCATGTGATTAAAATTCTTTCGAGCTGTATCCGCATGTATAATTTTATCTTTTGGTCGGTAGAAGATTGCGCTATTCACAGAAAGCATCGCTGCAATAGAAACCAATTCTTCCGAGCATTTGTATCTGTAATAAAGATTATTGATAAAATTACGAATAAAAACATACAATTTTATTTTACTTACTTTTCACTTGCTAATAACATTTTTCCCATCATTGGATCAACCGGAAACTCTGCCATGCGTCTACCCAACTTTGTCAATTCTCCATGATGATTTAACGCACCCAAGGCATACAGCTGTTCCAAAGCTAGGACCAAGGTCTCATGCGGTGGGGGATCTAAGAAGTCAAAGTGTATGAGATCGTTTATACCGAGAGCTTTCAGCATAAGCACGGCATTGCCAAGGTTAATACGCTGAATCTCAGGTACAGTGTTGTCCTCTAGTTCGTGTTTGTAAGCCCAAGCGGTATAAAGCCGGAAACACTTTCCTGGAGCTGTACGTCCAGCACGGCCTGCGCGTTGATTCGCTGACGCCTTTGAAATTGGCACAACCATTAAAGATTCCATGCCAGTGCGTGAATTGAAATTATTTTGCTTCGCGAATCCAGGATCTATCACGTAAATTATATTGTCAATTGTTAACGAAGTCTCCGCTATATTTGTTGCCAATACAACCTTTCTGGCATTGGGTGGTGTAGGTTCAAAAATTTTTGCCTGCATATCACTTGGCAAATTAGCATAAACTGGTATAATAACAAGCTCTCGTATCTTCGAACCTAGTCGTTTTACACGATCTTGTAAAACTTCCTGACATGTTTCTATCTCATCTTGCCCCGTAAGAAATACCAAAATATCTCCAAGTGGCTGTGTGGCATGTATTTGTAAAACTGAAACGCAACACGCATCAATATAGTCAGCTTCTGGTGCTTTCGTATAAAATATATCCACCTTAAAATAGATATGTACATAAAAATAATTACAAGTGAATTTTTGCAATAATAAGGCAAATAGTACCGGATAACGACGTCCAGGAATGCGAAAAATTGGCGCATCATCGAAAAATTTAGAAAACTTATCAGCATCTAACGTTGCGCTGGATATAAGTAGCTTCAGTTCCGGTCGAAAACGTGCTATATCTTTGACAAGTCCGAATAATATATCTGTATGTAAGGTACGTTCGTGAGCTTCGTCAATGATCATAACACTGTAGGACGCCAGATCCGGTTCTGATAAGAACTCTCTGTGTAAAGTACCATCGGTCATGTACTTGAGTACAGTACGTTCTAAAGGAAAACGATTTAAAAAACTGATAACAGTAAACAAATAAAAATAAATAAATAAATATAAGCAAACTTTTTATACCTGAAGTACAATCTTCGAACCGAATACTATAACCAACTTCATTTCCTAATTTAACTCCCATTTCTTCAGCAACACGTGCCGCTACAGACATAGCAGCCACACGTCTAGGCTGCGTGCAACCAATTTTCTTATTATCTTTGGTGAAGCCAGCTTCTACCAAGTACTGTGGAATTTGTGTTGTTTTACCGGAACCAGTTTCACCCTCTATAATTAGAATCTATAAAGGAAAAAAAGCTGTAAAATTTAATTAAAATAATAATTTTATGTTAATAATTTGTATATACCTGGTGTTCTTTCACAGCTTCTATTAAATCTTCTTTGAATGGATAAACTGGTAAGGACTTTTGTGTTTCCTCTATTGTCATACGCTTCCTCTCTGCCTCAGAAATTTCGGACTTTTTTGAAGAGTCCTCTTTCGAACCATCCATTGTGAGAGCTTGTATGAACTCAATTTGATCTTCAAGTAGAAGTTCATATTCTTCTTTCATTTTTGCATCTTTCGAACCAAATTGGAAACGTGCAGATGCTAACTGTTCAGCTTCCCATTTTTTCTGTTCCGAATTAGGTTGTTTTTCCAGCTCATCAACTTCCACATATTCCTCTAAAAATATTCAGGGATATTAAACAGTGCATACAAATGAAGCACATGCAATAGTTTACCTTTTTCGCCCTTTTTTAGGTTTTGTGGTATATGATATCGCTGGATTCGCTCCAATTCTCGCGCTTTTTCATGTTCCTTTGCAATTTGTAACAACTGCTTCTTGTATTCACGTTCCTCTCGTTCTCTTGCAGTCAAACTAAAATAAGTGAACAATTGATTCTAAACTTGCATTAAAACTTATAATTTCAAGGCTTACATCTTTTCGTCAAACAAATATTCATCATCCAGTATATCTGCCTCAAGTTCAGCCACTTTATCATCCTTTCGTTTTTCAAGATACTTTCGACGAGATTGCACTCGTAACTGTGGTAGAATTTTATCCCGATCTTCGTGCTCAAGCTTCAGTCGCTTAGCAGCTTCTTCAATAGCTTTACGGCTAGCACTAGATTCCAATACCTTTCGCACTTTGCCCTCATCGCGTTTCTTAAGTCTCTCAGTAAATTCATCACGCTCTTTAAGATCTTTTAAACGGCCTTCTTCCTCACTGTCCAATTCTTCGGAACTTGAGTTAGCAGCCCTTTTGCTGGCTTTTGACATGATGAATTTCTAGGAAATTACACTTCAACCACGAATTATATTGTATGTAGCTCTAATATTATTAGTTTTTATTGATAGTAATGATTTTTAATAAATAATCTAATGTTGTGTTTATTTAAATTATATGTTAGAATAGTTCTTGGAGATGATACGATAAGCTTGCGTTAAACCGATTAATTGTTTTTCGATGTCGTATGAGAATCAATCTTTGGAAAGTAATATTACCAACAAGCCATCGTCAAATCATATGTTTTTAGGTGTAACTTTCAAAATTAAAAACAAATTTATTTAGTCCCTTTATTGTCAATTTTAAGACAATAAATAAATTACATGTAAACCATTGTTTTTTTTGTAACGATTTTGCAAATTTTGCGGTTGCTTGGCTTTATAGCATTCTTTGTCACTATGGTTTTTAATTTAATTTTTGTCCATTTTTTAGTAATGTCAAATTCCTTTTCTTCATGTCAATCACCATATCACCATTTCTTTAAATTCTTGACTCTTAACGAATATTAACTATTCGGATTTAAATTATGCCAAATTGATTGAGGTGTTTTTTTTTAATAGGTGGCAGCATTTAACGAAACGTGTCCAGTGGTTTACATTCATATTTTTGGTGCATTCGTAATTTTCTGATTCAATCTTTTGCATTTATTACAATGGCAACTAAAAGTTCCGAAACTCCTTCCATTGGTGAGATTAAACGATTAAATAAGTACACATCAATTAATTTGTTGCATTTGTAACTATAGATGGAATTTATACATCTGAAAAATCTGGTAGTGATGAAAATGGTAAAGGTACACAAGACAATCCCTACAAAACAATTTTGCAGGCTATGCGTCATGCAAAGATTGAACCATTTCCCACAATATACGTAGATAGTAAAGATCCAAAAGCTGAAATCCCATATGAAGTTGCTGCCAAATCCCAGCTGAAGAAAATCCAGAAGATTTTTGCACGCGAAGGTTATAAGAATGCCGACAAACAACAGCGTGAAGCCGAAGATGCTGAAAAGCGAATGCAAAACTTGGAAGATGCACGCAAAATTAAAATCGAGGAGGATCCAAGCTTACCCGCTGCACGTAGAATACGCATAAGTCACGGTGAGGAATATCGCGGTGAACGTATTAAGATTTATGGATGGGTTCATCGTTTGCGTCGCCAGGGTAAGGGATTAATTTTCATAACCCTAAGAGATGGCACAGGATTTTTGCAGTGCGTACTCACTAATCGGCTATGTCAAACTTATGAAGCACTTGTGTTAAGTACTGAGAGTTCAGTGCTCCTGTATGGTGTATTGAAGCCGGTACCTGATGGCAAAATGGTAAGAAAAATAAATACTACTAAATTGAATTACAATAGTTATTAGTTAAAATAATTTTTAGGCACCAGGTGGTCATGAATTGCATGTAGATTATTGGGAATTAATAGGTTTGGCACCAGCAGGTGGGGCTGAAAATATTCTTAATGAAGAAGCACATCCTGACGTTCAACTGGACAATCGCCATATTATGATACGTGGTGAAAATACTTCAAAAATCTTGAAAATAAGATCAGTTGTTATGCAAGCTTTCCGTTCGCACTTCTTTGATCGGGGTTATAATGAAGTCAATCCACCAACTCTGGTACAGACACAGGTCGAAGGAGGGTCAACACTTTTCAAATTGCAATATTTTGGGTGAGTTTTGAATAAGCTTTAAAATATTTTGTATTGCGAGGCTTTCGATAAGGTTTGTGAATTAATTTAATTCGCATATAAATCAACAAAGTTTTTCGGGCATAAAAAGTAAACAAGTTCACTCAATTATTTTTTTTTTTAATGAATTATTTGTACTATACCTTTAACTCAACTTGACTTTTTAAAATAACCACGAACACTTATAAATCCATAATTTCAGCGAAGAGGCCTACTTAACTCAAAGTTCTCAGCTGTATTTGGAGACTTGTCTGCCAGCACTTGGCGATGTATTCACTGTTGCCCAGAGTTACCGCGCAGAACAAAGTAGAACGCGTCGTCATTTGGCCGAATATACACACATAGAAGCCGAAAGTCCCTTTATTACCTTTGATGATCTGTTAGACCGTTTGGAGGATTTAGTGTGCGATGTGGTTGATCGTATTTTAAAATCACCGTGGGGCTCCATCGTTCATGAACTTAACCCGGAATTTAAACCGCCCAAAAAACCTTTCCGTCGCATGAATTATGCAGATGCCATCAAATGGTTAAAGGATAACAACGTAACTAAGGACGATGGCACATTCTACGAATATGGCGAGGTATGCTAACAGTATACAAAGTTATTGGGTTACAACATTTACTGATGCTGAATTATTTATATTCTACATAGGATATACCAGAGGCGCCCGAGCGTAAAATGACTGATACCATAAATGAACCAATTATGTTATGCCGCTTTCCACTTGCTATAAAATCTTTCTATATGGCAAGATGTCCCGAAGATAGCAACTTAACGGAGAGTGTTGATGTACTTTTACCGAATGTTGGTGAAATTGTTGGCGGCTCCATGAGGATTTATAACCATGAGGAGCTGCTTGAAGGTTATAAACGCGAGGGCATTGACCCAACTCCATATTACTGGTATACTGATCAACGTATATATGGCACACAACCGCATGGTGGATACGGTCTCGGCTTGGAACGTTTCCTTTGCTGGTTACTCAATCGCTATCATATTCGCGAAGTTTGTTTGTATCCACGTTTCCTTGATCGTTGCAAACCTTAAATGACACGACGTTCTCGACGAATAAAAACACATATTAAAGCTTGCATTTACCTAAATAATATGGTGAAACGCATTCATTTATTTGCATTTAGTAAGATTACGCAAAATAAGATTTACTCGTCGAAAATTTCTCTACAAAGATCGCTATTGTCCTCATCAAATGTTACGTCGCCCTCAGCATCTGCATCCTCCTACAACACAAAACAAAACTTGTAAAATTTAAAATTATTGCCATATAATATTTAGCGCACCGCATTATCTACTGAGTCCAGTTCAGCATGTATCTGACCTTTGCGATAATGATTTCGTAATAATTCTTTAATGCAATTACTCATTATCTGACGAACTTGCATGTCAAATCCTGTAGGTAGCCAGCCCGTTTTCTCATTACATATTGCACCAGTGCGCGGTGACGGTATCTTCTCGATCATTTCTTGAATTTTCGGCATATGTAAATCACAATACTAAAAATATAATTATTTCAAAATGTTACGAACATGTATGAGTATATGTATCAGCAAATAAACGTATAACGCTTACTCTTAAAATACATTGCCGAGAGCGTGGTAATTTATTTTCTTCGAAGTATGGATAATTTATATCTTGCACCAATTCGCTAAGTTCGTATGGACTCTCATTTTGCTTTTTCAGTTGATCCTTCCTGTTTGCCACCTATTTGGAAATAATATGTTGTTTATTATTACATATCTTGAATTTGCAAAAAAAATTACTTACGAATTCGGACATACCAGAACGGAATCGTAGTCGATAGTCAAATGTTTGGTAATAACGACTCTTGAAATCTTTACGCGGATCATAACCATAACGCACGTATAGTGTACGCCATGGTCCAGTCGAAAAGTAGTAAGACAGGGATGGTACTATGCATTTAAGTTTTTCATGAGATACACCAGATTCGTAGAGCAGCCCAATACGTGTCCAAATTGGGCATTCCTCAAATAACTACACACATATTGCATATAATAGAAAAAAATTATATATAAAAAATTTTACTTTGTTATAATATAAAGGATTTAATACAAGAAGTTGATTTTGGTAGATCAGTTGGTTTGGCGGCTATATGATATAGTGCTCTGATCTGAAACATTTCTCGGAGAATGTAACATGTTTAAAATTTCAGATCGATTTGTCAAAAACTGAGAAAATAAGTAGTTTACGCAAACAGACAGACTCTGCTGGACACGCTGATCATTTACACACATATATATGTGTTTCACGGAGTTTTTGATATATTTGTAAGAATAATCTTGTCTGCAGTCTACTTACACTTTTCACTTTCTGAAGTTGTTCATCCGATACATATTTGATACGCATTCGTTTAACAGTTTGTAAATCTGGACGTTCCGGAAAAACATCTGTCATACTGAATGGCACTATGTCGCGACTGTCATATGTAGATTTCTGTATCACACCCAGCACATCATTTTGACCGTCATCTTGTTGATCACCTCGAAATATTGTCGAATTGGTAGTGTCGACTCGTGCAAAAATTTGTGGCAAACTCACCAAAGGCAAATCTGTTTGTCTAAGGATATTGAATGATTTTTTACTATAAACTAAATACACTACGTGTTTTATTTGAGCTTACGCAAAATAATCTGTATCCGTAATGGATTGAGGAAGCAGGGTCGATAAATTAAAATTTAAGTTTGAATCATTTGGCTGCTTATACAAAGGCAGGAATTGAAAGTCACATAAGCCTAAAAGCATAAATTCGAATTATTTTAATATGGTAAATCTGTAACCACAAGTAATGTAATAAATTAAGTTTTTGTAAACACTAACACTTTGTGAGCTTAATATTAAAAGGATACATAAAAATTAAAAGTACTATCAAGTAAAATAAATTGAAAAATGTATATAAATATGTAACACTTACTGTTAAAAGTAAAAGTTCGTTTGCAGTGCCCAAGTATGCACAAGCGATATTCAGCAGGTGAGCTACGGTTCTTTTTGGAGCGTCGTACTTTCACAGAAATTAGCAAACCCGCGCTTTGAACAGCATCGCCACCGGTAACTTTGTTGTACGGATTCTTCGGGTGAAAACGAAGCTCTAAGCGTTTCTGTTCATACCCCAAAGACTTTGAAGAATTCAACAATATTAGAAAATTTTATATTGCTGCATAAATTAGTAATGGTATTATGATGAAGCTAACCCTACAAATTTATATCGCTATTCACAAAAACACCCACCTGGGAAATGTTAATTATCCCGCCTAGTGTCTCCACCATTTTTTCCACATTCACCACTTTCGCTGGGTACTCAATTACCTCCAATTCCTTGTTCGAAGAAAAATTTACTTGCTTTGTGGTCATCGTGAAAATATTTTGTTTACATGTCTTTATACGGATGGGATATGAAACTGTTTACAAATTTTCGATACTGAGAATTTTCGATAATGAGATACTTTTTGTTGGTATCGGTTCTTCTCATATCGATATGGAAGGCTATTTACACAGTGCCAGGTCACACAGGAACACTTTTGTCTTCCAAAACAACTTTTTGCGGGTGAGCGGACGAAGAAGAAAAACGAAATGACCATGTTTCTAGTATTTGAATAACAATTTGTGTTTTTGTTCGCTGCTTTACAACTCGGCTTTACTTTTCATTTTGAATTCCGTTTCATGGTTGCAAAGTGTTCGGATTCATATTAATATATACTTTATGTTCCGATATTTCAAAGTTAATATTTTTTTATGTAGTAGGCAAGTATGTATTTCATAACAGATTTATTTCGAAAAAATTTTAATAATGATAAAATTAATTTCCTCAAAAATGTTTATTTTAAATATTTAAGAACATTTAGAAGAATTAAAAACAATTATTTGTAAGTGTCGCTTAGCCGAACAGTGTCATGTGTGGAATACAATGCTCGCGACAGACTGCAAACGACATCTGTCAAATATTAAAATACACACGTTCTTATGGACGGACCTATTTTGACAGCTGCACAACTACACGACGGCAGGCCGACAGTTGTCGTTCTCGCTAACTTCAATTTTATCCTATATTTGCCAACGACAGTAGGACGACAGAATGGAAGATATAGAGATGAGGTAGAGTGGTGATGCCACTAATATGTAAAATGTAATATTACTCAAAGCTCTAACAAACCCGACTTTATTTTACAAATAAAAGCATAAAATAGCTCTGTTGCATCATTTATAATAACAATTGATAACTTAAACAATAAATTTACCTATTTACTTATATTTTGCTTAAAAATTTCACTTTGAACAAAATATTCAAATTTCATTAAAGTGCAAGGTATTAGTATGGCCACAACGAAATTGTGTACATGCAAAATGGACAATTGCGTTGTTTTGTTTACATGCCGACCATTGTTATGTTGCTGCCCTCTCACAAACGTTTATTTAGTAGGATTCACAACGCCGTTTTCAGTTCACTGTCGTGCTGCTGCAGTCTGTCGCGAGCATTGTGTTCCGCGCATCAGCATTAACGAAAATTGTATGAAAAGGAAGACAGAAAAACTCGACCAAAGTTCCTAGACAAGTGTTGCTCGTGTGAAAGCACTGAGCGACACCAAAGGAGAATTTGCCGACAAAACACTTACCTAACTTTTGGTATTGACTCCTTCACAATTCAGATCCCTTTCATGCAATTTCACTATTTTTCATTAGCTATTTTTATTATGTAGTTTATAATCATATAATTTTACATCTTTCCCACTTATATACCAAATTAGATAATACAATTAAAATAACAAAGCATATCTGCGTTCATTACAGCAATTGCATCAATGTAAAAATTATTTGTAATTAAACCATTAATTAATATAAAATTACTTTTATGAAACTTCAATCTAATAATAATTGGTGACAAATATATATGATAAACTATAACCGCCCTAATATTTCAATAGCATAAGCTGCTCTGTGAACATATGGTTACCGTCGTTAAAAGTATCGATAAAATAAAATCCATTCACCGAAATAGCAACAATTATATTATTTTTGGTTTACCTCCCTCGTGTTGTTTAACGAATCAATAAAGAAATCAAAATAAAAAATGGGCGCATTAGCAGAAGTACGTATTATTTTTAATTCAATGTATAAAATAAATTAATCAGTTTTTACCAGGTTGCTGGTGATGAAAATAGCGGCGAAGGCTCACGCACATTTGTGTTTCAAAACGAGGGACACACTTTAGGCAATGCTCTAAAAACGATCATTAGCAGATATCCGGATGTTGATTTCTGCGGTTACACTATTCCTCATCCAACTGAAAGCAAAATGCATTTTCGTATACAATCTAATCAAAACAGAGCTATTGACATTTTAAAACGAGGCTTAGATGATTTGGAATCCCTTTGTGATCATACTATCAACACGTTCGAGTCAGAAGTTAAAACGTATATTGAAACAAATAATAAGCCTGCGGTAATGTAATACATATTTGGTTTTTATTTATGTGTATAAGGTTGTTTATAATAAATTTAAATAAATAATTTAATTAAGTAGAAATGCGCATTTTTTTCGGATCATAATTTGGTTTTCGGAGATGATGATAGTTAGGTAATACTTTTCTTAGAAAATCAATCTGGAGGGTTTGTGACTAGATTAGAATATATAAAATAAATATTACTTTTTATAATTTGAAATTTTTATTTTATGAAAGTGTTAATATGTATGTTCATAGTTATAATTTCGAACGAAACCATCGTATACAAAAAAATGTTTTGTAAAAGCACACATTAACACTTTCAAAAATAAAGCGGATGCATTTTTACCCCATGTTTATCGATGGCTTCTCTCTGTAAGCAATTTCGGCCGTAAATCACAGTATTTTCAGGAAGTTTCTGCTCCGAAACTAATCTTACACCAGCACCAATAATGCAGCCACTGGAAACGAAGACGCAAGGCCCCACGTAGCACTTGCTCTCAAACACATTTTTTTCTCCAATGTGACATGCTTCCACTCTGCTACCCACTTCAAAAACATTATTTGCTCCAATGTTTAAAGTTCGCACTTCAACTGCTGGGTCAATTTTGTTATCTGTCGGCAGACGGAATGCAATTGTAGAGTACTCTTCCACTATACAATTTTCACCTAACACAATGGGTCCAGCTTCAGCAATTATGGTAGCACTGGGGTGTATCACACATCCAGGTGAAATGGTGATGTCACCAATCAAGCTACAGTCCTCACAAACTATAGCTTTCGCCATTATTTTAATCCTACAATTAAAATATATATCAATATTTCCTGTTTTATCAATTTTATCACAATATATACTCATTGTGCTCCGTGTGGGACATGCTGTAAAACTATATTTTCTGGATATTTTTATTATTTAATTCAGATTATTTACACTTTTGTTTTGACATTACAGCCGATACTCGATAATCGATTATATTAACTGGAACCGTGGAAATATTAACAACAGGTATGCACGCATAAAATTTATTTAATCAATAATGTTCGATCCAGTATATATGGAAAGAAAGTACAGGTATAAATGTCTTCATTGATTTGTACTTCTTTAATTCTGAAGTAATTATAAATCCCAAAAAATAGCAAATTGGTATTCATCAACTGGTATTGAAATCATTGAAGATCAGTGAAGGCCAGTCTCGTTTTTTGTAATATTTTTTGAATACATTTAAATTTCGGTGAAGCCATTTGTTTCTATTATTTCGACGAGCTAACAATATTTGGAACGATATAAAATATGAAATTTTTTCTAATCATTTCAATATTTTTACGAATATATATTATAATTTACCTAACCAGAAAAGATTTCAATGTCGCATGAGCATTTGGAAATATTTTTGATTGTTGTAACTTTGCATTCCTTTTGTCACAGAGAAATAAAAATTCTTTTTACAGCGTACTAATTTTGTTTACCCCAACTAAAAACAAAAAAATCTAATTCACACATAACTTAAGCATTAAAATGAGTTTGGACACACGCTTCCTACACAATACTAAAGTCTACTAGATCTAATGGGCATCTTACTTCTATGAAATTTTATTAAAATCTTGAAATGTTTAGTATTTCCTGAATTAGATTTAAATAAACATTTTGAATTAATAAAATCGTGCAAGCAAAAATATATATATACCGTTATTATATATTAAGAATTATTATCATGAGCACATGTGCCAATTAGGTCCACGAGTGAGGTAACTCTAATTTGAAAAAATACATCGCTGAATATTTCCGTATTAATGGCGCTGCTTGAATGTTTCGGTTCTATTCCTCTTTCAGTTTTTGTTTAGTAGCTGTTGCAGTTAAATCTATGATTACAACGTAGTTTGTTCGCGCGTGGGCACTGTTTTAAAGTAATATTTGTAAATTAAATTTAAGGAAAAGTGTAGAATTTATAAATTCAAACAATGCATTATACAAATTGAGACTTTTTACATCGAACTAAGAGAAATAAACGACAAAACTTTGATATAAAAAAAAAGCCAAATACAAAGTGCTGAGTATAGGGTTTTTGTTCTAGCATTCGTCTTTGCGTCATACAGCCATAGTAGACGAGAGAATTCGCTAAAAAGCGACGCGAGTAAAAATCGCCCTGCCTTGTGTGCTACTTCGTCTGTTCCAACTCAAACAACTGCAAAACAACGGATCGTAGGCATTGATTACTGGCGCAACACACGTTTAAAAACTTTACATTTCTAATTGTAGTCTAAGGTGGCTGCCCTATAGTAATATTCCCTAGAAGTCATATATATATTGACATGGTCATAGCGAAGTTCTCAGGTTTGTCAAATTTTATATCATATCATTACTGTTTCTATTAAATTTATACAATTATCCATAAAAGTGTATAGTTTTAACATGTGAAAAATGTACCAAACTAAGGCGGAAGTGAATTACTGTGTGTGATATACATATGTATGTATATACATATGCTTTGGGAGGTGAAGATAACTTTTTGTGTTCATTATTTTGTTAGTAAAAAATCGTGTATCTATAATACTTGTACAAATACATATACACGCATAAATTCTGTTTAATACAACATAAAATCTGATGAAACAAACCTAAACTTCAGTGTTTATCAAATAATGAAAGAATATTAATAACCCAGGAAGTTACTAAATTTTAGTGCTTAAAGCCAGTTTGTTAAGTAGTTATATATATATACATACATATATATTTGATTTCGCATTCTAAACTATACCGACGCTGTATGCGGCATTATCAATGCACCCCGGTTTCTGCTGTAATACTAGTGTTTATTATATTATAACAATTGTGCGAGTGTACATATTCGCGTAATAGCATAGATGGCCCCTGCCACAGACAAAACATTATATATATATATATACATAAATATATGCATTTATATGTATATATCAAAAAAAAAAACAGCAGCTAGACAGCAACGAAAACGCGCCATAGAAATGCTTTTTCTCGTTCTTGGAGAGAGAGAAGCATAGTGATTGTGGATGAACGAGCGGGTGGACGGACGGCAAACAAGAATACGTGTTTTCTTGTATATGAGATGTGGATGGTGACTAATTCGCGTCGTCGTGCGTTCCATTGCCAATTCGTTTCCCCTTTGTGCGCTGGAGCTCACAGAACCAACAGCTTTGCCCTGCAGAAACTGCACTGTCTCTTGGCTTCAGTTCCACTTCCTCCTACATTCTCATTAACTTTTTTGTTGTTTTTGGTCCCTTTCATGATTTCTGCCTTTTTTTGTTTTGTTTGTCTACAGAGTTACCATTTTGTGATTTGCTGTTTACACGATGTTTGAAAATTATGAAATTATTTGAGAATAATTCTAGAATGCGCGAATATTTTTTAAGCCAAACACTTTTCGGAATTATATCCTAAACAAATATATAATTGAAATTTTTATATCCAATAACATTTTAACATCGAAATTGAGATAACAAACAATTTATAAATTTCTTATGTTTTATCCCTGCATATGAGTTTTATTTAGACAATGCAACATCGTGAATTTGTGTGTGTATGTATTGCGTTATTGTCGGTTGAAAGCGTAGGTAACTGCGGGACATATGCCCGTAAGATCGGTGGGCTTTTACGTTTAAAGGAGCAGCAAATGGCGGTTCTCTTCTGCCATGCCCTATACTCCCTTTTTGAAGAGCAATACAAAACAGCATTTTGGTTTAGTCCGACAACCTTTGCTTCTTCCCCTTTTTCCTGTTTTCGTTAAATTGTCACCCTTCCGTTCAATGCTGCTTTTGATTGTTTGTATACAGTATGCATAATCCATGTGTGTGTTATGCGTATCCAACTTTTGGTAAAGAAAGAACAAGGTAAATACATACATATGTATGTATGTACCGAAGTGCTTATTGAAAGTAAGTTCATAATATTATATTTGCACTACATATTATAATATTGTAATACAACACACACATAGCGTTATCATTTCCTGGATTATGTAGTTTTCGAGAGGATATTAATAAATGAGTGTCTCCTGTTTATGTATACCTATTAATATTCGAAGTGTGAATTTGTCAGTATTTTAAATAATATTTAAAATGGTAAGACCTGCTTCCATGGTCTTCATCATTTGGTGAAATCATATACATACATACGTACATATATCGACTAATTTTAGTGCGTGACATTCTTCTCATATTCCCATATCACGTTGCGAAAATGGGCGAACTGGATTACATCCATGCCTATTTTCCAAATAACGTAATTTTAAATTCTATTTAATTTATTCGCTTTCCAGGGCACAAATCAGGAAGTACTTGATATAACAGGATAAAGCTTTGCACTAATAATTCCTTTAAAGTATGTCACGTTATGGTCAAAAAATAGCCAACTCAATCCAAAAGTGTTCAAGACCCAGCTACCGAATATGTGGACTACAGTATTTATGGTTGACATTTTATCGAAAATATCGATCAATGTGTGAGACACACAATTCTTATTTGGTAGTAGTATCTTTGTGTATCAAAAATAATCAAAAATGGGTTGAATCAAGTCAATACTGAGCCCCCATTTACATAAAGATTTTCGAACTTTGGTGACTTATACATACAGTTGCGAGCAAAGAAATAGTAGTGCCTATTGGCCAAGAGAGTTTTGCTTTAAATTTGGTCCTTTGTTGATATTGCCGTCGATCATTATTTTAGTTATATTCTCTGAAGTATAACTTACTTACCTTTACTTTTTTTTATTGGGATATCTGTTTTTATGAGCGAGCAATAGAATAGTAGTGAACAGTAAGCTGATTGCAAACAGATAATTTTTACTAAAAAATATTTAATTTTATCAAACAAAAAGTAAGTTTCCTGATCTTTTATTTATTATTCAATGCAAAAAGCCAAAAATTATGACTTTGCACCTTTTATTGGGCCACGGGAAGCGAAGAAAACCGAGAATGTATTAAATCTGTCATAAACAACGGTAAAACCTACAAGGGAGTGGAAAGACTTGTATTGTTTTAAGCCACAACTGAGAATTTTACACGAATAGTTGTAAGATGTGCTTAAACTCGACCTAGAATGTCAGCTTTGGAGATCCGGAGTGAACTGAACCTGGCCTGCAGTGTTCATACAGTGAGAAAACTTCTATGTGAACATAATTTATATGTCAGCGGTCTTTGAAAAGTATCGTTATTAAAAAAAAAATTATGTAGCACGTCGCCTAAAATTCGCCGTTAAGGACACCTGAATTGGCCAATTGAAAAATGGCGCAACATCTTGAGGACAGACGCCCAAAAACTTTGAAGCTTGTCAGTTCGAATATCATGGTTTGGGCTGTTTTTCTTACAGCCCAGTGTAGGCCCAATTCACAAGATTACTGGCATAACGGACAGATACACATACGTGGATATAATGCAGTATATTATGATACCATTTGCTGAAGAGGACATGCCGCTGAATTGGATAATACAGCAGGATAATGACCCGAAGCACACCAGTAGGGTGGCAAAATAGTGGTTTCGGGTCGATGGAATCCCTTGGCCTCGATCCTATTGAAAACCGTTGGGGAGACGTCAAGAAAGCCCTATGGAATGATGAACCAAAAAAACAACAACGATTTGTGGACCGTAGTGCAGCAATCATGGCAGAGCATACCACTGAAAATATGACAGAGCCCCTTAGATTCTCTGAAGAAGCGATGTATTGCTGTTATCAAAAGTTATGGCCATGCTACCTAATAGGTCTTCTATAGATGAAATTTGCAAAATCCTTCAGTATTTTTAAAAAAAGTTTTTGAGTACTTTACTACTATTTTACTGCTTCCAACAATTTTCATACATAAACACATTTTTGTAAATAAACATATCTTGTTCATATTCAAATCTAAATATTTTTAGTAATAAACATAGCATGGGAAATATGATCCACTTCTGCATTTCAATGGATGTTAAAAGTGTTTGGCATTTTACATAACTCACAGATACGTAAAGCTCTAACACCCACTACTATTTCACTGTTCGCAGCTGTATGTACAGTGGACCAATAAAGTATACATACCCTTAGTTCTATTAAATTACGACATATTTATTTGTTTTAAAATGAATAAATTATATGTTTTTTTTGTATCCATTTCAAGATATGTATATTTAACATTAAATATAGCATATCAATATATTTTTTTTACACAAATAAAAAAAAATTAATACTAAAGCTTAAAAGGCGCCTAATCTAGATCATAAAAGTATACGTACACCAATGATTATTTGTATAAATCAAAAGTAATTACAATAGTTTTAATGAAAATTGTGTAATTTACGGAGATGATGCTGTATCAGTTTGTGTAGCACAACAATAGATCGTTCGCTTCCGTTCTGGAAATTTCGAAATTTTGATTTACACTGATGGAATAATGTCTCTAGCGGAAAAATGGCAAAACGTTGCCGACCACAATGGTACATATTTTTTTATTTATTTATTAGTATAAATATAAAAAAAAATAAGTTGAAGCTTGAATAGAAATACCAAAAGTCTTTTTCGACTAATATCAAGAATTTTGAATATTCGCGGGTTACGCGTATATGTATAGGCCAAAAACAACATATTAAGCCATATAACCTATACCTGTCCCCGTGTGACATGTTTTTGTTGCCAAAACTGAAAAGGCATATGCAGACAACTATTAGAACTAAACAAGATTAAAGAAGGGACTATTTTTTTTAAGTGCTTTGGGAATTGGAAATAATGCTGGCAAAAGCGCAAATTATATTTTGGGGAATACACATTTAAGAAATACAAAATTCGGGAAACTTTTATGCACAAACTTCGTATTATGCCGTTCACATGTACCCACAAAGGTGCAGGACTCTGATAAATTCTAGGAAATTGCTGAGCGCTTTAGAGGTCTCAAGAATGCGTTTACAGATTTCTAGGCAACTGAAAATCTGGTGCCAATCATATAACCAGCAATAGAGCAGACAAGTTCGTCAGCCCAAACCAGCCCTTAAAATTTATGTAATGTCTTTAGGAATAATAACTGTACAAAGCCTACGCAATCCGAACTGGCTTGCTTTATATCCGGTTAAGAGCAAACAACCCTTCAGCATTTCCTAAACATTATGGTTTATGTAAAAATTTCGAAGTTTAAAGTAATACCCGATATAATTGGATACAAATTAGACTGAAACCTTTTGCCTAAACTTCCTGGAACGTTTTTAACAATACTAGTATAATTACAACCTCAAACAAAGTGCATTCGTTTATTATTGATTTCTTATTTTCTATTTATTTGCATCGGTTAGTTGAAAGTTTTGCTCATATTTTAAGTTTTTGAAATGGGAAGAATGT